AGTAAGCAAAAAGAAAAGAAAGGAACCAGGTGGATGGGAAGCCTTCTGTTAGCACACAGATTGCTCACCATCCACACCAAAATTAGCAACAAAAAAATAACAAAGCAAACATCAGCTAGAGGAGGCTTCAAAAATGGATTCTGGGGGATTCCACTGCTTTTGAAGATGTATGTTCTGAGTTGTAGCCTTGATTTTGTTCAGTCTTGAAGCTCTGCTTCTGATCATATCAGTAATCCCTTTTGTAACTGTGACCACATCCCTGTAATTGTTCCTATGTAGCCTTTCATTCCTTTCCAGCCATAGATAATACCCTGAGGCAACTTGCAGAGCAAGAGAGAGTTTCATCAGTGTAGCTTTCAAGTTATCGCCCTTCATCACTTGCTCTGCCCACATGATTGTATTCTGCCAGGAATCACATCTCCACTGCTCCCCACATTGTAAGACAATGGTGGTCCAAACCCTCTCTATGAATGAGCAATTGAAAAACAAGTGGTCATGGGATTCACAACTTCCTCTACAAAATACACAGCTAACTCTAGTAAAANAGTTCTCTAAGGGGAGTGAAGCATAGTTCCCTCTGACTTTCGTTTTAAGCTTGAATCTCCCTTCTGGCCTTAAGTTCTCTAAGGTTTCTATCTCTCTTTCATGGATGTTCCTAAAGGTGGTCAAAGATCACTAGAACGAATTAGATCGATGTGGGGTCCCTTTGAATCTTCACATGCTTACAACCCGGACGCTTCTCTGACATCCTACCATNGGCCTCCCAGGTAGAATGAGTAGAGAATAAACCATTGGGAGAAGGGATCCATAGGATAGAGTCAGGCCTCCCAGGTACAGGGCAAAAGCCTAAAGGCAAACTCTACTGCAACTCCATTACCAAATGTGATCTGGAATGTGGCCAATCCCACTGTTGGTCTTGGATGATACTGTTAACTCTNTAGCTCAAGACAGAATAGTTTGTATTAGATTGTAGCTCTCTTCTTTCTCCTCTATCCCATTAGCATCCAACTTCTCCCTTCAATAAGAGTAGCATCTTGTGTTGGCAGTTATCTACCAATTGTTGCTCACTCATCGTTGACTCAACATCACTTTACGAAATTCCTAATTCCTCTGGTTGGGACTCCCCTGTCACGTCTAACTATNTGAGTTCTTGAGCAAGCAGTATGTTGTCACCTATCCTCCTACCTTTTATGAAAGCAACTTGAGCATAGCTAATGAGATGAGGCAAAATACTCTTCACTTTNGAACAAAAGGAAAGCCAAACTTACAAGAGAGTAAGCAAAAAGAAAAGAAAGGAACCGGGTGGATGGGAAGCCTTCTGTTAGCACACAGATTGCTCACCTTNTATGTTGTCACCTATCCTCCTACCTTTTATGAAAGCAGCTTGAGCATAGCTAATGAGATGAGGCAAAATACTCTTCACTCTGTTGGCCAGAATTTTTGTAATGCACTTTTACAGTGTATTACAACAGGAGATTGGTCTATAATCACTCAACTTAGAAGGATTGGGAATCTTTGGTACCAACACAATAATTGTGGAATTCATTTCTCTGATGAGGCACCCAGAGATGAAAAAGGATTGGATAGCCCTCACCACATCCTCCCCCACAATGTGCCAAGTTCTTTTAAAGAAAAAGGCATTAAATCCATCAGGCCCTGGGGCATTGTTAGAATGCAGGCTAACAATGTGGATCTAATCTCCTCCATATACACTTCATGGATCGANAAGAAAAAGGCATTAAATCCATCAGGCCCTGGGGCCTTGTTAGAGTGCAGGCTAAACAATGTGGATCTAATCTCCTCCATAGACACTTCCTGGATCAACTGGGCAGCTTGGTCTTCACTGATAACCTTAGTTATAAATGGCCTCATAGCAGCCTTCCCTGGATAAGAGAGAGAGCATGGGGATCCAAGGAGGTCCTTGTAGTATCCAACAACCTCAGCTTTGACTTCGTTGTAGTCCTGAAGCATTGTTCCATCCTCTAGCTGAACATAGACTCTTTTTTTTATGTTATGTTTATGGACCTAAAGAAGAAACTTTTGTTTTGGTCTCCTTCTGATAGCCCCAGCTAATAAAGTTGCGAGATTTCTGCAACTAAAAGGATTCTTCATTGTGCCTAAGCCTTTCTCAGATAGGGTTTCTTTCTCAAGCTGCTGGAGTTGACTGAGATTGGACTGGTGCTGCATGGCTCTTTGGATGTCATGAAGCTTCTTCCTCATCTCATTCACTCTACCAGATATGTCACTGCATTTCCTCCTATTCAAATCTTTGAGGGCAACCTTTACTAGTTTAAGCTTCTGGATAACTTGAAAAAGAGGGTAGCCTCTGACCTCAGTTTTCCAGATCTCACTTACTTAAAGTATCAAATTCAGTACTGATCAGTATAGGAGGCCCAAAAGTGGAAGAATTTGAATGGCCTTTTTCCCTCTCTAAATTCAATTCCTGTTCTAACCATAATGGGGCTATGATCTGAAACTCCCGGGGGTAGAAATTCAGCCTCAGCTCCAGTGAATTTAGTCTTCCAGGTGTCATTTATCAAAGCTCTGTCTAACTTCCTCTCAATAATGCCAGATCCCAGCTGCCTATTAGACCAAGTAAAAAACAAACCAGAGAATCTGAGGTCCTTTAGTTCAGCATCCTGACAGCACTCGTCAAGATGTTCCAGCCCAGAATTCCATTCTAAATTCCCACCCCTTCTCTCCTGAGGGAATCTGACAGCATTGAAGTCTCCTAAAACCACCCAAGATTCATTAATAACCCTGCATGGTATTTCAAATTTATCCAGAGCGGCTCCCTTTCCTCTTCTTTCTTTTTTCCATAAACAAAGGAGGCAATGAAGTTTATCCTCTTCTCAATAATTGTGATGCTTAAATGTATTACCTGGTCTGTGCTGCCAATTTGGTTAAGTTCCAAAACATTGGGATCCCAACTTATCCAAATTCTTCCATTTGTGTGGCAATTATAATGAAACACAAACCTCCAATCCTTTAACAAAAAGAAAGAAAGATAGGGTTTCAATCCTGAGTGAAGTAGCTAATTGAATAGTGCTGCTAGGGGGAAGCTTAGTGACTCGAGGAGAGAGAGGTAGGCCCATTCATACGAAGGCTATGTCAATTGAAGCCAATTCGGCTATTCCTTTTGTTGTGCCTGCATCGGTTGCTGTTCAAAGATTAGTGATTATATTCAAGAATCCCAGAGCTTGAAGCATAGGAGATCGGGTTGATGATGCATGGATGGTAGATAATCCATCTTTGGGTGCCTTACTTTCTTTCTTTCTTTTTCCTGGTGGTGCCTATAGAAAACAAGGAGAGTCGTTTCCTCGCAACAAGCGGCAGGGGCCCCTCTGGACTAAGGGGGGTCTGTGTACTCAAGTGGATCAACTAGAGAAGGAAGTCACACAAGACTCATATTCATATGAAGAAGCGTTGGATGAACTACTTGGGATTGCCTCAAGAGAGGAATTCATGGGCTAGGCTTGCAGACGCGTCTTCCTATGTTTGCTACAATGCATCTTTTAGGCCTTGAAAGAGATCTTTTGGTGTGCCAATGGATGATTTTATCTGAAGGAATCTCACATCGATTTGTCACTATAGACATGTAGTCAACTGACCTACGAGCACCCTTACTCGCATGAACTTCTTGTTCATTTCATAAAAAGCTGTTGGTGACTAAGCGATAGTCCTAGTCGTTGACTAGTTGTACGTCTGTCAGAAAGTAACACCAAGGGAGCCTCTAAAAAGGAGGTAATCCTAAGGGGGGTGGTTCCCTCCAAGTCGGTGGAATTCCGACGAAGGGACTTTGAGAGACCGACATTTGAGCGTGACGGGTGCGCGTTGGTCCTGCTGTNTCTCTAATAGCAAGCCAGAGGAAAAAAGAAGCTCTTGGAACCATATGAGTAAACCAGACAATTGAGTGCCAGCTGACTTGGGGGTTCCTTTGCCTAATGGCCTCCCAGGTAGAATGAGTAGAGAATAAACCATTGGGAGAAGGGATCCATAGGACAGAGTCAGGCCTCCCAGGTACAGGACAAAAGCCTAAAGGCAAACTCTGCTGCAACTCCATTACCAAATGTGATCTGGACTGTGGCCAATCCCACTGTTGGTCTTGGATGATACTGTTAACTCTAGCATTCCTTGGCAGCCTTGCTCCCAATATGACTCTCTCATCAAAAATGGATAGAATAGGCCCAGTGGGGAGCCAATTATCAAACCAAAGGAAGACATTTTCCCCATTCCAAACTCTGAACTTGATGAAGGGTCTGATAAGTTCTCTAAGCTTAAGAATTTTCCTCCATGTCCATGAACTGTCCTGGGGAATCTGGAGATCCCAAAGGCTTCTGTTCCTTATAAGAGAAGCTCTAACCCAGGTGACCCAGATTGAGCTAGTAACAAGCTGCATTAAGTTCCATATGTGCTTAGCCATAATAGCTTTATTCCAGTCCTCAACTCTTTTGAGTCCTAACCTTCTTTCCTCTCTGGGNTAGTGTATAGTGTCTAGTCTATCTTAAGATAGTCTGCTTTGTCTTATATGTATTTTCTCTCCTTCCTCCTACTTGAGGGTAATAAGCTAGAACCGGTAAGAATGTATTCTATCTGTCTGCTAGGTGCATGAAGGAGCTAATTTTCGCTTGTTGAAAGAATCCCTGAGTTTCTATCTAGGAGAGAAGAAGAGCGACAACCGATAACAAGAACCGATGCACTTATCCGCTATAGTTTCTGTCCTTTACTTCCTTAGGTGACTTCCTTCNTTGCTTAGGTGACTTCCTCCTAGTAGCTAGGTAGCTAGGCGAACTGGTTCTTTGTGGCTTTCCCCCAAGCTAGGTTTTCAATCTTTTAGGCAAGTTAATAAAACCATTCCCTTCCTTTCTGTTTTGTTAGTGGAATAAGTCCTCTAACTTCTTGTTTGCATCAACTCGAAATGCTACTTGCCTTTAGGTTTCTAAAAGATAGGATAGATGAGAATGTAGCTGTCTTATTATTGGTAGTCGGAGAGCGGGCAAAGGAGGGTTTGGCTTGAAGATACCAGCCGAGCTACTTGTTCTTAAATATCTATTGTATGCATGGACTAGTAGCATAATACCTTTCATAGCCTGAAAGCTCTTAAGGCAGCTTGCTTACTATCCTATTGAGGGTCTTACTACCTAACTAATAGAATGGTATTTCCTGAGGGAAGTAGTCCGAGTAGCTAGTCTTGAAGGAAGACGAACAACACGGACCAGGCACTCTTCCTAAACCAGAAGACGGAACGGAGAGAACGATTCCCAGGTGGGGATTGNGAAGACGGACAACACGGACCAGGCACTCTTCCTAAACCAGAAGACGGAACGGAGAGAGCGATTCCCAGGTGGGGATCGGGAACGTCTCTATTTCCCTGCTAGTGCACTACTTCCTTCTGGTTTTATACCTAATAGAGAAAGACTGTCTCACCAGCAGCTACCGATGCTGTCTCACTCATCGTTGAGTCATCAATCACTTTACGAGTTTTTCCTTGTTCGGCTTTGGCCTCTGTATGAGTATATGTATATGTCTCTCTATGAGTATATGTAATGCATTCTAATGCCCAGGTTTCCTAAAGGTTCTAAGAGGGAAGGTAAGAATGGATTAGGATGTAAAAGACTGTATTCTATCTGGTTGCTAGTCGAATAGCTAAGGATAGAAGGGAATGGTAATATATCTCTTTATCTCTTTTACTAANGAAATCTCAGTGCTAGACCCCGAAAGGATTCTGATCATAGTTGTTCAGCGCGTCAAGTTGACACTATAGCTACAGGCAAGTGTTTAAGGTCGTGATTTCTCATTCAATGGCCTCACCATTATCATTCCCATGTACAATCCGACATCTAGTATTTCACCCGCAGGCTATACTGTCAAGCAAGGAAGGCGACCTCAAAGACTGGCGGCTAATTCGCGTGACGAAAAGCTAGGTTTTATTCCATCTCTAGTTTCATCGGATCGTTCATAGATTACATGCTTCTAAAGACTGCTGCTCAACGGCGTACGGCTGACGACAACGCAAGGCCGTGTATCGAAAAGCTGCCACCCAGTAGAATGTACCAACGCCTGAATTTGCTCTTACTACCAACCAGCGCGACGATGATAGCTACGAAATGTGCCGAGCCTATGTCCTTCCCAATCTAAGGGACAGTGTAGAGCGAACTTACCCGATTCTTCCCGAATCTTTTCAGACAAGGAGGGAACAACATCCCGGTCCGATGTTGGTTTTCCAACCCGACAGGACAGTCTTCCCAAGCGCCCGACTCAACGAGAATATAGCCTCATAGCTGGCACGGCGAAGCGTATTGTCCCCTATCTTTATTGCACCCCGGACACCCAATCGATCGTTCCCCGATTGACACCTGACAGCCCTGAGTTCTACCCGATCATCCCCAGATATAGATGCGTCACACAAGTCACTCTCTCCTGATCCGCGACCGTGACTGAAAGCAGTTTCTTAGGCGGTTGTGCCAAGCTTAGTTGAAATTGAAAAAGGGACGGGAAGAAAGTAGTAGTGAGTAAAAGTGCTCAGAGAAGCGACATGCATATTCTAGCTAGCTAGCCAATTCATTTCATTTCATTTCGAGGGTAGCAATGATGAGGTGCAGCCGTCCGCTAACAATCGCCAATTTCGTGTCAAGAACGATCCCATAAGCGATCCTCTCTAAGTAGAAATCGAGATTTCCTGTCCATATAGCTTGGGGGGCTTTTAGATAGGCATTTTTCCTACTACTATACTAATTAGTTTAGTAGGGGGCAAGCAAGTTCCATTTTTTTGACAAACATATCAGAATTTAGATGAATCAAACGACATTTTCTGGAATCTGGCATTTAGCGACAGGTGGGTCTTAAAAAGACGTCAATTGCGAGAAGAGGTCTTGCTGCTTTGACTTTAAATGCTCTTGCTACGCGCTGAGTTATTACCGTAATGCATGATTAAATCAAAGAAAGTGATGACCATGCTGCTTACGCGCTTAAGCAACAAACCAAGCGAAAAGGTAACTCCGCACTTTGTTAAGAACAGAAAATGTCGTTTTTGTGTGACAAAAGCTAAACATAGCAGTCGTCATCCTGAAATCGACTCATGCTTACTGTGCCCACTACCTTTCCAATAACCCATACGCTTCGCTTTCTCCTGCACCCACGAGGGATTGATTGATCATAAAACAGATTGGTGAGCTGCTGCTTGATGAACCGCTGCTGCCGCCCTTCAATCGCCGAGAGTTTCGCTAAGAACGTTCAAAACTCACTCTAAAGGGAAGAGTTAGCCGAACTCCCAGTAAGCCATGAAGAGAATTCCTCTTGTCCGTTTTAAGTCGAACCTTACAAAAAGAATATTTGACAGACATAAATGTCATCAAAAAATGCCGGGAAAGCTTGCGCAAAGCGGATTCCAACAACTCGCCTAAATTCTGCTTACCCAAAACCTATTCGAACAGGAGACTAGCCCGGCGCATGTCCACCAGGCTGGTTTTTAAGCTCAGTCGGGGACACCTAANTGGCTAAGGGCATGTAGGATAGATAGAATCTCCTGCTCTTAGGATGTAGCTTCATTTCCTTAACTTACTGGTAGTTGAGTAAGGACTCACCGCTTCTCTCCCCCTGAGTTCTCTCTTGCTGGCTTCCAAGTGCTTTCTTTTAATGGCTTCCCAGGTTTCCTAAAGGTTCTAAGAGGGAAGGTAAGAATGGATTAGGACGTAAAAGACTGTATTCTATCTGGTTGCTAGTCGAATAGCTAAGGACAGAAGGGAATGGTAATATATCTCTCTATCTCTTTTACTGAAGTTAAGAATAGATTAGGCTAGATTCGAACAGATTATAGATTGTAGTTTCCTCCCTCCTAGTAGCTAGGTAGCTCGGTAGTTTGTTGTTGTCATTCCTCTCCTAGTGGGAAGGTTAGAACAAGATAGGTTTTTTTTTATCAGTCAATTGAATTTTATAGATCAAAGAGCTGTATACAATCTGCTTAGCAGAGAACAAAAGGAAAGCCAAACTTACAAGAGAGTAAGCAAAAAGAAAAGAAAGGAACCAGGTGGATGGGAAGCCTTCTGTTAGCACACAGATTGCTCACCATCCACACCAAAATTAGCAACAAAAAAATAACAAAGCAAACATCAGCTAGAGGAGGCTTCAAAAATGGATTCTGGGGGATTCCACTGCTTTTGAAGATGTATGTTCTGAGTTGTAGCCTTGATTTTGTTCAGTCTTGAAGCTCTGCTTCTGATCATATCAGTAATCCCTTTTGTAACTGTGACCACATCCCTGTAATTGTTCCTATGTAGCCTTTCATTCCTTTCCAGCCATAGATAATACCCTGAGGCAACTTGCAGAGCAAGAGAGAGTTTCATCAGTGTAGCTTTCAAGTTATCGCCCTTCATCACTTGCTCTGCCCACATGATTGTATTCTGCCAGGAATCACATCTCCACTGCTCCCCACATTGTAAGACAATGGTGGTCCAAACCCTCTCTGTGAATGAGCAATTGAAAAACAAGTGGTCATGGGATTCACAGCTTCCTCTACAAAATACACAGCTAACTCTAGTAATAATACCCCATTGAAACAAACTGTCCTGAGTACCAAGCTTCTCTCTAATAGCAAGCCAGAGGAAAAAAGAAGCTCTTGGAACCATATGAGTAAACCAGACAATTGAGTGCCAGCTGACTTGGGGGTTCCTTTGCCTAATGGCCTCCCAGGTAGAATGAGTAGAGAATAAACCATTGGGAGAAGGGATCCATAGGACAGAGTCAGGCCTCCCAGGTACAGGACAAAAGCCTAAAGGCAAACTCTGCTGCAACTCCATTACCAAATGTGATCTGGACTGTGGCCAATCCCACTGTTGGTCTTGGATGATACTGTTAACTCTAGCATTCCTTGGCAGCCTTGCTCCCAATATGACTCTCTCATCAAAAATGGATAGAATAGGCCCAGTGGGGAGCCAATTATCAAACCAAAGGAAGACATTTTCCCCATTCCAAACTCTGAACTTGATGAAGGGTCTGATAAGTTCTCTAAGCTTAAGACCATGTCCATGAACTGTCCTGGGGAATCTGGAGATCCCAAAGGCTTCTGTTCCTCATAAGAGAAGCTCTAACCCAGGTGACCCAGATTGAGCTAGTAACAGGCTGCATTAAGTTCCATATGTGCTTAGCCATAATGGCTTTATTCCAGTCCTCAACTCTTTTGAGTCCTAACCCTCCTTCCTCTCTGGGGTATGTGACATCTTCCCAAGCCACTTTGGCCCCAGTATGCTTCAAATCAGCACCCCTCCATAGGAAGGATCTCATAATCTGCTCAATTGATCTAATAGTGGCTTTAGGGAGTAAAAACCAGCTAGACCAATAAACTTGAATGCCAAAGAGAACAGATTTGATCAATTGCAATCTTCCAGCATATGAGAGACATTTTCAAGTCCAACTTTTCACTTTAGCAAGCATTCTGTCTACAAGACTTCTACAATCTGCCCCTCTTAGCTTAGTAGATATAAGTGGAACTCCAAGGTACCTCACAGGGAGTTGGCCTGGTGGAAACCCAAACAGTTGCTGGATATTAGTTCTAGTGGAATTATGCACTCCTGCAGTGAAGATCTGACTCTTTGCATGGTTTGCTTGGAGATCAGACAACTCAGAAAATTTTTCAAGTGCAGCCTTGAGTATGCTAGCAGAAGCCATATTTCCATAGCAAAACAGTAGAAGATCATCAGCAAAGCTTAGATGAGTGGTAAGTGTCTTCTTGCATCTCCAATGAAAGCTGAACTGGTCACTCTTAGTGAACTTATCAGTGATCATAGTAAAGACCTCCATAGCAATTACAAACAAGTAAGGTGAAATGGGGTCCCCTTGTCTTAACCCCTTAGCCCCAGGAAAATCTCCCTCTAGTTCACCATTGATGCTGACTGAGAAAAGTGGAGAGGTGATGCAGGACTTAATCCATTGAATGAATTTAGGAGGGAATTTGATTAACTCTAAAGCATCAAGCAGAAAATCCCACCTAACTGAGTCATAAGCTTTCTTCAAATCCACTTTGATAGCACATCTGGGAGAGATGTTATCCCTATGGTAACCCCTCATGAGTTCTTGAGCAAGCAGTATGTTGTCACCTATCCTCCTACCTTTTATGAAAGCAGCTTGAGCATAGCTAATGAGATGAGGCAAAATACTCTTCACTCTGTTGGCCAGAATTTTTGTAATGCACTTTTACAGTGTATTACAACAGGAGATTGGTCTATAATCACTCAACTTAGAAGGATTGGGAATCTTTGGTACCAACACAATAATTGTGGAATTCATTTCTCTGATGAGGCACCCAGAGATGAAAAAGGATTGGATAGCCCTCACCACATCCTCCCCCACAATGTGCCAAGTTCTTTTAAAGAAAAAGGCATTAAATCCATCAGGCCCTGGGGCCTTGTTAGAGTGCAGGCTAAACAATGTGGATCTAATCTCCTCCATAGACACTTCCTGGATCAACTGGGCAGCTTGGTCTTCACTGATAACCTTAGTTATAAATGGCCTCATAGCAGCCTTCCCTGGATAAGAGAGAGAGCATGGGGATCCAAGGAGGTCCTTGTAGTATCCAACAACCTCAGCTTTGACTTGGTTGTAGTCCTGAAGCATTGTTCCATCCTCTAGCTGAACATAGACTCTTTTTTTTATGTTATGTTTATGGACCTAAAGAAGAAACTTTTGTTTTGGTCTCCTTCTGATAGCCCCAGCTAATAAAGTTGCGAGATTTCTGCAACTAAAAGGATTCTTCATTGTGCCTAAGCCTTTCTCAGATAGGGTTTCTTTCTCAAGCTGCTGGAGTTGACTGAGATTGGACTGGTGCTGCATGGCTCTTTGGATGTCATGAAGCTTCTTCCTCATCTCATTCACTCTACCAGATATGTCACTGCATTTCCTCCTATTCAAATCTTTGAGGGCAACCTTTACTAGTTTAAGCTTCTGGATAACTTGAAAAAGAGGGTAGCCTCTGACCTCAGTTTTCCAGATCTCACTTACTTAAAGTATCAAATTCAGTACTGATCAGTATAGGAGGCCCAAAAGTGGAAGAATTTGAATGGCCTTTTTCCCTCTCTAAATTCAATTCCTGTTCTAACCATAATGGGGCTATGATCTGAAACTCCCGGGGGTAGAAATTCAGCCTCAGCTCCAGTGAATTTAGTCTTCCAGGTGTCATTTATCAAAGCTCTGTCTAACTTCCTCTCAATAATGCCAGATCCCAGCTGCCTATTAGACCAGGTAAAAAACAAACCAGAGAATCTGAGGTCCTCTAGTTCAGCATCCTGACAGCACTCGTCAAGATGTTCCAGCCCAGAATTCCATTCTAAATTCCCACCCCTTCTCTCCTGAGGGAATCTGACAGCATTGAAGTCTCCTAAAACCACCCAAGATTCATTAATAACCCTGCATGGTATTTCAAATTTATCCAGAGCGGCTCCCTTTCCTCTTCTTTCTTTTTTCCATAAACAAAGGAGGCAATGAAGTTTATCCTCTTCTCAATAATTGTGATGCTTAAATGTATTACCTGGTCTGTGCTGCCAATTTGGTTAAGTTCCAAAACATTGGGATCCCAACTTATCCAAATTCTTCCATTTGTGTGGCAATTATAATGAAACACAAACCTCCAATCCTTTAACAAAAAGAAAGAAAGATAGGGTTTCAATCCTGAGTGAAGTAGCTAATTGAATAGTGCTGCTAGGGGGAAGCTTAGTGACTCGAGGAGAGAGAGGTAGGCCCATTCATACGAAGGCTATGTCAATTGAAGCCAATTCGGCTATTCCTTTTGTTGTGCCTGCATCGGTTGCTGTTCAAAGATTAGTGATTATATTCAAGAATCCCAGAGCTTGAAGCATAGGAGATCGGGTTGATGATGCATGGATGGTAGATAATCCATCTTTGGGTGCCTTACTTTCTTTCTTTCTTTTTCCTGGTGGTGCCTATAGAAAACAAGGAGAGTCGTTTCCTCGCAACAAGCGGCAGGGGCCCCTCTGGACTAAGGGGGGTCTGTGTACTCAAGTGGATCAACTAGAGAAGGAAGTCACACAAGACTCATATTCATATGAAGAAGCGTTGGATGAACTACTTGGGATTGCCTCAAGAGAGGAATTCATGGGCTAGGCTTGCAGACGCGTCTTCCTATGTTTGCTACAATGCATCTTTTAGGCCTTGAAAGAGATCTTTTGGTGTGCCAATGGATGATTTTATCTGAAGGAATCTCACATCGATTTGTCACTATAGACATGTAGTCAACTGACCTACGAGCACCCTTACTCGCATGAACTTCTTGTTCATTTCATAAAAAGCTGTTGGTGACTAAGCGATAGTCCTAGTCGTTGACTAGTTGTACGTCTGTCAGAAAGTAACACCAAGGGAGCCTCTAAAAAGGAGGTAATCCTAAGGGGGGTGGTTCCCTCCAAGTCGGTGGAATTCCGACGAAGGGACTTTGAGAGACCGACATTTGAGCGTGACGGGTGCGCGTTGGTCCTGCTGTGGAGCAAGAGCCATGGCCGACCATGCCCCAGTTACGAGTCCTCACGTCACCAACATGAAAATTGACAATGAAATTATCACGCTTACTTTTTGACAGATGTCTACAACTGTCACCGATTAGGTGGCAGAGAGTTTTGGAAGAGTCTCGGGTGATGCTACGCATCCTGCGAAAGATGCTGCTCATCATTCAGGATGGTTTAGCCAAGGAAACATGCATTGCAATTTTTCACTTTTCTAAACAGGTACTGTGGTTGGTACGTGGCTCTGGATTGTTGTTTACTGCGCTTTATTTGAAGCAATGCGCGTCTTCTTTGTAGAAGGCATATGCTGGCATTAAACGACCCCATGAGCTGCTACCAACTTCAGTGTCCCTCACCCGATCTGGGTACCCTAGAATCATCCCTTCTTTTCATCGACATCTTCTTTATAAGAAGGATGATAGGGCGGATCAGTTGGTTAAACTGTACTTTTCCTTTTTCTCGAAAAGCCGCTTAGTGAAACTATCAAAGAAAGTAGATAAAACTACCTTTTCAAGTATAGTTTCTCCAACTGATTTGGTTGCCGCTTCATCTTTTTGTGCCAAACTCCGGGAAGAGCTTAGGCCATTGATGGAGCGGTATCTACCCTGATTGACCTTTCTTCCCCTTTACCAAGGGATGAGTTGGTCTCCAATCTAGAAATCCTTACCGACATACAAACAGGTGTCGGAGGTGTTCTCTCAGGATAACGTGGCGAAGCGGATTATGGGTCATGGACTACAGTCCTGTTTCCCCACTTTAATATTTAAGTTATCCGCATGGTCCTATCTTTTAGAGAAGATTCATGTAACGGAGGACCACTTATCCCTTGGGTGACTATGGCCGGAACGAGTCCGTTTTGCGTGGGATTGTCTCAACAATCGTTTCACTGGTATTGATTTAGATATTTTGGAGAGGGTTACGGGGCCGGTTCTTCCGCATTATCGATAAATCGGTCTTCCACCAGTGTGTGGTTGGTTGGGTTGTAGTGTTGAGCGAGGCGAAAAGAGGAGGATATTCGCTATCGAAAACTATATTAATCAATGGCTTCTGAAACCGGTCCATAACTGGTTGATGAGTGTTCTTCGGATGATCCCCATGGATGGGACGTTCGATCAGGAACGACTGCTTGATTATTTAGTAGGCGAGCAACATTGTTATTCATTAAATAAGACTTGTGGAAGAAAAACCTTACCTTCGACGGTGCGAGAACGTGCTTCCAACACAAACCAAAGTTTTGAGGATGGCCTAATATCTATTATAGGGCCAGGTCCTTGTTGTATCAAAATCCTTCAGTTGAACCCTCTTACGACATCCCTCCTTATCGGCAGAAGCAACCTCAATCTCAAGGCTCAACCCAGGCCTAAAAACGAAATCCCAAGATACAGAAGAAGCACTTTCAAGCCAATCCCTTTACCTGCCAGGCAAGGCCAGATACCCAAGATTGAGCCTGAGACGCATCGGTCTTTCCAATTAGAGTTCTACCCGGGGATTGACAAAGCCACTTTCACTTTCATTCAACGGTTGGAAGCGAATATGCCAAAGACAATGGACTTCTCCAACCTTCCCCTCTGAGTTTGACTCTGATGAGCTTGAATTCGATCCCAAATAAAGAATAAAGAACTTCCCCAATCGAATCGAGCAGCAAGGTTCTGAAAGAAAAGGCCCGCTTCCTCTGGTTTAAATATCCTGCTGGCTGTTCACGGGTATCAGAATCGGAAGCTTATGAGGATTAGGCATACGATCCTTATTGTGATATAAGAAACTGCTTTTCACTTGAATTCTCCAATGAAATCTGAAATCAATGGTTTTGAGTCCCACTGGCAGATGTGAGAGTTCTCGCCTTCACGTCTTCAACGAAACCAATAACCACTCTGCTCACTCTTCTTTTTTTCGTAAAAAGCTTATTTTGCAGCCCTCGACGTTTGATCATTTTAATCCCACTCCTATATATCCCTAAAGGGGGACTTTGAATTAAAGCGAAAAAGAGGCGATTTCAGGGATATAGCTCGATGTGTCAACGGGCCTTTCCATTCTGATCGAGAAGAATGATTAAACCTCCACATCTTAGTGTCTGGTAGTGACATAACCTTGGTCTTGGGGAGCTCATAGCGCATAAGAAAAACGGGGAGGTTTTTCTTGACTTTCCTTCTTCGTGCCGTCCTTGACAATGGCTTAATCCACTGGACCACCTGGAACTGTTCTTGCCTTTAGGCCAGCCCAATAACAACCTCTTCTGGTACCAAACATCTTGTTTGTTACACAATCATTTGTTGAATAAAATGTCCTGCTACCGACTAGTACCAGCTCTAAATGCACTTTTGCAATGGTCGAAGCAAGAGCCGCTCGTGTTGCTGAAGGCAAGGAAGGACTTCCGGGGAAGGAAAGGGCCCATAGAATAATATTTTCTTACTGAATTGATTCCTAACTGGCGCTTCTTTCTTTGCTTTGAAGCCTTTTCAAATCAAATCAAATCAAATCAAATAGGCTTTGCTTGGTTTGGAATGCACGTTCTGGTAGACCTGGACCGGATACCATTCCTGCTAACGACTTTCAACTCAGCTCTCCTCAACTTCTCATAGTCTTATTGACCACTGTTGCCTAGCCTAGCTCAGTCAAGTTTGACCTCCGCTCTCCTAAAAGGTGAGGAATCTTTTTCGTCTTATCATCTTTACTTTTACGGGAATTCAGATCTTCGTCAAGCTTTCGCAAACCTATCCTTCATCGAGTCCATTCGCTTTCCTATCTTTCAGAGTACCTATTCTATTCTTCCCTTTCCCCTAATCTAGTAATAAGGCATTCTTTCCTAAAGTTAACATACCTCTCCGGTTATCCCTTTCTGTCTACTCTCCGCCTCCTTTCGATAATCTAACTTGGTCCTTTCTTTTACACCTTGTGGAAAGTGGAGTGCATAAGCCCTTTTAGAGTTAGAGATAGGCTTTTACTACTCTCAAAGCGTATCAAAAACCTAGCGATTGAGGTTGAAAGAGCGCTGGAATGTCTTGAACTAGGATGAGTCAAACTTTTGATGTAAAAATGAATTTTCAAATAGGATGGATATAGGGGTATCTTTCATTGTTTCAGTCTATGTCTATTACTTGACTTCTGAGTCAGGAATTCCCTGGCAATCCGAACTGAGGAGAAAGAGCAAGCAATGTGTCCTCGCTTGAAAGGACTAGGGGTCAAGTTCCAGCTTGGTTCTCAAAGAAGGGTAAAGGGGCAGCCTATCTTACGTTTTACTAAACGAAAGAAAGGGGCTAAGTGACTCCTCGAAAGCCGACCCTTATTTGAATATGAAATCCCTAGGGATT